CCAGCCAGCTGGCTGGGGAATTCTGGGAGTTGAAGTCCACCCATCTTCAAGCTGCCAAGGTTGAGAAACGCTGCCATACAACACCATAAGGTCATGATCATTGAGCCCTGATCTTTCTCAGTGCTCATCCTTGGAGGATGTCCTGAGCAGAAGAGAAGCATAGATTGAATAAATGAATTGATCAGAGGATGGGCCTAGTTTGGCATTTTAAATAAATGAAGAAGCAGTACATGTGCTCAGGCCTGGGGTCTTGAGTGAGTGAAGGGTCCCGTCTCCTGGCTGTGCTAGTGACTGCCGATTGTGATATTGTCAGAAGCTGCTGAGTATTTTAATTTTTGTATTTGTGATTGGAATTGTGTTTAATTTATTTTAAGACTGTTCACTGCCCAGAGTCACTTGGTGAGATGGACAGCTATACAAATTGAATAAATAAATAAAGAGCACCCAGACAGGGAGAATTCTGAAGATATGTATTCCATTGTAATAATTTTTGAAATAAAACGATAGGCCCACTCATTCTAGCTGTAGGTGGGAAGCCACCTTTATGCTTTAGGGAATGTACCTTTTAAGAAATCTACTTCTTTCAGTTCTCCCTGCTGCTTACCCAGATGGTTTTTTCCCTGTTTTCCAATTCTATTCCAATTCTATTTCCAACTGCTCAACTCTCCTCACTCAACTCCTGCTCCCTTCCCAGGATCTTCTGGATGCCATAATGGCCAAGCTGATGCAAGTACCCCCTAAGTTTCTACCCCCTGAATGGCACATTGCTAACAAGGTCCAGTACAGTAGTGCCGAGGCCCAGCGGTCTCGGTCGGAGCGCTTGGTGGATGAGAGCCAGCGGCTGGTGGATGAAATTGAGAGAACTACTCAGAAGACCCAGAGCGATGTCAACAAGAGAATAGGTGATTAATGCATTTATATGGACATATGTGTCTGTGTGTCTGAAAGTAGGTGGGGGAGTTTGCATAAGATGCTTGACCAGGTCACTTAAAGATCAAGTTGCTGTATCTGTACAACATGCAAAGCTTTGTGTTAAGTTTCATTAGGGCTTTTTTTTGGGGGGGGGGCGTAGTGTCTTGTGTCCATTTTATTAGTTTATGGTTGTAGTACACAAACCCAGAAAATAGGTCATGCATGGTGTATAAACTGAGTCATGTACTGTACATAAAGGCCTAGGCTTTAGTGATAGATGGAAGCCTTTTGTTTAGTTAACCTAGTTATCACAGTCTTACCCATTTAACAATCTATCTACTGTGAGAGCAAGCAGGAGTACCAAGAAAAGCAGTATTTTAAATAATCCAGAGTTTGAATACTAACAGTGAAGCTGCCTCATATCAAGGCAAACCACTTATCCATTTCGAAATAGGCTACCATGATGGGCCTCAGTTGTCCCAGGTTCGGTGCTAGAGTTTTTCTCAGCCCTTCCTCAAGATTCCAGGGTCCAATCCTGAAACTTTCCATATCCAAGATATAGCTGAACCCCAGCACTTCCTCAAGATTAGCAATATTTAAGCTTATACCTATTACTAGACAGAGAATACACGAGCGAAAAATAGAGACTCCGTTTCTTGAGACCTTATATATACTGATCCTGGAATTGTGCTGTGCATTGTAAGACTGGGCAGAGAATCTTTCTCTCTAGTATTCCATGCGTATGAGCTAAATAATGCTAGGTGACAGGTCTAGTTAACCTTGGCCAATTGTGAAAAGCTAAGCAGGGTCAGACTTGGTTAGCGCTTGGATAGGAGACCACCAGGATATCCCAGATTTTTCAGTTAGACTGGAATTTAAAAAAATTCTGGAAGAAGGTAATGGCATGTCTTTGTTCTTGCCAAGACAAGAGGATGGGTGTGCCCATGAAGTCTCCAAGGGTAAAAAGGTGACTGCTTGCTGTGTAAGGACTGCAGGAGACATGGCCAGTGATGTCTTCATGCACAGGAGTAGATGGAGCAAAAAGGACCCAATCTGAGAGGAGCTGAAGGGCAAAATAGGTACCTTAAGCATTTAAAAAATGGGAAAATTGGCTAGATATTGGAAGTTTTAAAAGGGCTGAAAAGGGGATGGTAAATCTCTGCAAGGCTTAAGATATCCATTTCACCCTTGAAACATCCAACCTCACCCCAAAATAGAAAGAATGGAATGAGGGTAATTGGAGCTTGCTGTGAGGCATCCTAAGGCACAGGTTTTGGCTTTGTTTGGTTGTTTTACTGTTTTATTGTTTTATGGTTATGTTTTATAGTTACTGGTTTTACTGTGATTGTGAGCCACCCAGAGTTGTTTAAGGTGGGCGTCCATACAAATCTTTTAAATAAATAAATACAAGTATCTGGCCCTGCCCGCCTTAGAGTGGCTGTGGGATCCAGGGACCATAAAAGGGAGCCTGAGAGGCTGCATGCCAGCTGGGGTTGCCCACCCCTGCTGAAGACATTTGATCTAGGGGGGTCACATTTATTTATATGTCTGTCTATTTATTTGTTCGTTCATTCTTTTTCTATTCTAAGGGCCATAGAGGGCACAGCTAGTTGTCCCATAACAATATGGAGGCTGCAGTGATGAATTTTTTGCCCGTGGGGGGAAGGGATTGGTGGTTTTTTAAACTGGAAAAAAATATGTTAACATGCCTATTTTACAGTGTCAGTTTTAAAAAAAACAAATATATTATGCTGCTCAAGAGTGCCATTTAATCACCACATTTTAGCAATACAATGTTGGGCTGCAAAAATGGACTTGGGGGAAGTGCATGCAGGACTCAGGTTGTCCACCCCTCTTCTAAACCAATAGGAAGCTCTTAAAGATTGAGCTGTGAGATGAATGTCCAGATATAGCAACTACCCCTTGCAGTGTATGGAGATTAACACTATGGTGGTATCCACACGAGATGCTTAATCAGGTAAGGTAAAGATGTAACAGCTGCATTTATAAAATGTGAGTTTACTCATTTACAGTTTTAGATTTTGTGGCTCACCATGGCATGCAAACCCAGACTTTTTGGTTAATTCATGATTCAATATAATTGTGCAACCCCAGAAAATGGGTTCATTCAATAAACTGTGTGGACTCAGCCTTTGAGTTGATGGCATCATTCACATCCACGTTGTCTGTTACGGGGGGCAATCAGATTCTCCCTTTCATGCAAAGCCCTGAGATCTAGCAGTTGCTGGCTGCTGGTACAGTTTCTGGGCTTGAATGCTGCATATCTCTACTTTGAGGTGATTGAGTATTCTCACTTCTGCAGAACAGAGACTTGAGGAAATAAAATTCTGGAAGCAGCAGTTGGATGAGAAACTTGACCAGCTTGTGAAGGAGACTGAAGTGCTTTTGTCATTCAAAACAAGGCTGGAAAAAGCTCTGGAGGGCTGCAGAGAACCACTTTTCACAGCACAGGAGTGTCTCTTAAACCGGTGAGAATCCAGTGAGGCATTATTTCTCTCTGGACTTCATTTTTTAGTTGCTGGAGGCAGGTGGGATGAACTTGTCTGAATGAAGAAACTGTGTAATGTCATCATGGTTGGTTAGCTGGGAGAAAAGGTCTTTGAGTCACTCATCTTAGTAGATAGTGGGAAAAAGTTATGAGAAGTAACTGGAAGCACTGGGTATATTTAGCCTGGAGGACTGTGCTAAGGATGGGAGGGGGCTGAGGATGGGAGGGGGCTACATGGTGCTGAGGACAGGAGGGGGCTACATGATGAAATTCCTTCAAGTATCTGAAGGGCTGTCATGTACAAGATGGGGAAGGCTTGTTCAGAGTTGTTCCACGTGACAGAACAAGAAACAACACGTTTAAATTAACTTCCTGAATTAACAATTTGTTAACCAGTGGAATTGGCTCCCATATGAAGTGGTGAGTTCTCCTTCAGTAAAGCTCTTCATCTGTCTAGTGCAGTGTTTCTCAACCTTGGCAATTTTAAGATGGGTGGACTTCAACTCCCAGAATTGCTGGCTGGGGAATTAGGGGAGTTGAAGTCCACCCATCTTAAAGTTGCCAAGGTTGAGGAACACTGCTCTAGTGGATCCTGCACTGAGCAGCAAGGGTTGAACTAGATGACCTCTAAGGTCACTTCTAACTCTGCTTCTGTAATAAATGACAAAATAGTACATTTCAGTTGGACATCAAATAAAATTCCCCAATGGTAAGAGCTGGTGGGCAGTGGAACAGACTGCCTGAAGAGATGGTGGACTTCTACACTGGGCATGTTTAAACAAAGGCTACTTGTCTGTCTGTTGGGGATGCTAAAATAGTGGATTTCTGCACTGGGCAGAGAGTTGGGCTAGAAGATCTCCAAGGTACCTTCCTACCATTTCCTTCTATCATGCTATGGTTCTATAGCTAGGTAGTAGAGCATCCGCTTTGCATGCAGAAGATCTTGGCCTAACCTCAATCTCGAAGAGCCGTTGTAACCAGTATATGAATACTAAACCAGATGGTTTGACTTGGTTTAAGGCAGATGCCTGGGTAGCATCTTTGCATCCATTGATTATGTTTGCACAACACATATGGCTACTGAATTAACTCACTTGTACGTTTGCACCATACATGAAATCCTAAACTAGCTTGATAAGTTGGGTTCACATTACATGCTAAGCCCCCTGCCCCATCATTAATACAAGGTTGGTATCTTGTGGAATTGTAATTGTATAACTGACCTGGCGAATCATGTTGTACAAACTGTGCCTCTGAATTTGAACACCAGTTAGGACATTGAGTCCACCCCCCTGGTAGTGTGGGAATATAAAGACAAATATACCCAACAGATGACTATCCTGCCTTTGCTTTAACACACCCAGTGAAAGGTAGCCCACAGTCTCTCCAGTTAAATGCTAAAATAATAAATATAAATATAAGATATAAATAATTATAAAGAGTTCATTGTTGAACTCTTCTCACTATTAGCAAGTCTTTCTTAATATTCAGCTAATATTCTTCATACTCTGACTTAAGCCCTATTATTCCATGTCCTGGGATACTAGAGAATAAGGGCTACGTAAAGCATTGGAAACATTGGGAATTCATTGGAAAGAAGTCCAAGGGGGTCCCAGCAGAAATATTGCCCATGCAAAGACATGCATATGCAACTGGGTAGCGACAGCCTTCAAAGCAGGTTCATAAGCCTTCCAAAGGTGCAGCCGCTTTAATGCTTGGGCTAAAATTGTTTTGCTCATTCCAGTGTGCCCTGCTTTATGCACCCTTAATGGTAAATGAGCCTAAGTCTAAGGAAGACCCACACAGCCTTTCTGAGACACTTTTTATGGAATTATGGATGCTACAAATGAAAAGCCATAGGAGTTTGCAGGATATTGAATTTTGCAGGAAGAGTAGCTGGCTCTATTTTATCGAGTATGGGGCTGAAGATCAGCCTCAAAAGACTCCCAGTCTGTATCATAAAGAGATAAAGAACTGACTCCCTGTAATAATATTGATAATAATTAAATTTAGTGGTTTAATTAAGAGCTATTTAATTATTATATTTAATTATTCTTTTTCTTCAAGTTTCCTCTCTGCTTCCTATTTTAGGGATTGTACCTACATTAGGCCTTTTCTCTCTATATGTGTTTTTTAAGTAGAAATGCCCTCCATCTAGCATCCATTTTACTATTTCCTGTTCAGCACAGCCGAGGAATTACTGCTGAATTGCCTCTTGATCAGCTTCTTCATGAGGGTGGGATAAAAAAACTGATTAATGCCCAGTTCATCAGTAATTTTCCCAATTATGTGACAGTAAGAAAAGGATAAAAGTTTGTTTTGAGGAACTATCAGCCTTGAAGGGAACAGTTGGTAAAAGGGCTTTACATGGCATTTTGGGAGGATTTGGGCCATGGAAAGTCTTGCTGAACAATACAGGATAGCTTTCTTCACCTGGGCACCTCCAAATGTATGGACTTTTAACTCCTATAATTTCCCAGCCTTTTTAGCTGTTGCTGAGAATTCTCCAGATTAAAGTCCATGCATTGAGGGAACACCAAAGATGATGAAAACTGGTATAAGTCTTCCTCCAATTGTGTCCAGCTCCTAGTAACAACATGAACACATTTATGTTGTTTTCCATGTTTGCCATTGTTTCTCTCTGGGATATTTTTTTAACTTTCCAGTCTAGCCTATTGCTCTAAGAATTTTTGCTGGTCTCCATTCTGATAAATACATACATACATACATACATACATACATACATACATACAAACCAGATCCAATCTATTTAGTTTTTTCAAGATCAGCTAGGGTGATATAACACTAGCTTTTACGCTGTATCTAATCATTCTCTAAGTCTTGTTTTCAGCTAATTCCACACAGGCAAATTTCCACAATATTAAAGAATACTGTTGCTTTCCACATATTTTTGTTCCAAGTTCTTAGAAGTTCCTCAGACCACAAGATAGATGCCAAAGAAAACATTTGGACTATGCAAACAGTTCAAAGTAGTTGGCTGTTTCTCCAGTGGAAACCTGCAGTCCTGGTGGAAATGGCTTATGAGCATTCACATACATATTCAGAAGACCAGGAAAGGACCCTGAAGCAGCTGTATCAAGCTCTCAAAAGATGCAGCCATCTTGAGATGCCCAGAATATGTTCAGGTTTTTTGGTTGTTTTGTGAAATGCACAGCCTTGAGATTCATAAACACATCCTGCTTGCCATGGCACAAAGACGCCCTACCAACTATTTCTGCAGGACTTGCTTCTCAGACCATAGCCTGCCTTTTATCACCAGCCCACTGTTGGGTCACACAGAGATCAGACTGAAGCTTTCTGGCATGACAGTAGTGTTTTCTTTGGTACTGTTGTACAAGTATTTCCAGGCATACATTCTAGGGTGCCTGGAAGAAAAGCCTTTGGAGGTCAGCAATCAGCTGGACTCCGTTTGGCTGATAGGTCTGCGGTGGGACCACCTCTTCCATCTGGTCACTGGGCTCTGCCCTTCCATGGCAATTTTGGCTGTGCTTGCAAGAGAGACTGACACCTCACTTGTGTAGCCTATTTCATTTGGTTTGGAGATAGGAATACTAACCGCATGTAAATCTCAATGCAGGTCTACCAGGAAGTTGGTATTTCCATTGGTAAAAGGAAGGTAGAACTTCACTTGGCAGAGTTTTTTTCCATTCTTGGTGGATGAAGTGAAGGAGTGGGTGGAAAGGAGCAGCTACAGATCTTGTCTCCCAAGGCACCAATGGTCTTATCTGGCTGGACTTGAAAGCACAGGCTGGTTTTTTTTTTTTAAAGTTTCACTATAATATGCACACACACACTGATGCTATAGGAAAATTGATCTCTTGAGAGGTTGATATTTTCATGGGTAGAATTTTTTAAAAATCTGTGATTATCTGCCCCCTAAGAAAATAAGTGGTCCACTCCCTGTGTGGTCCACCCTCTCACCATGATGTGCATGTAAATAAGGCAAAATACTTATGAAATAATGATACAATAGCTGAAACTCATTCAGGATAGCAGTTGGTTTTGGTTTTCCCACAGGTAGGTGACTCTAGTGGAAGGGGAAAGCACTGGTGTGAACCCAATAATTATTAACTGTGCCGGTTGCAGCCTTTCCTGAAGGAACTCTAGCTACAGTGATTCATACCCTTGTCATGCCCTGGTCTGATCAGTACCATGAACTTTACATGGAGTGGCCTCTGAAAACTATTCAGAAGCCACAACTGGTGCAAAGAGCCAGTTTGGTGTAGTGGTAAAGGTGCTGGACTACAAACTGAGAGACTGTAAGTTCTAGTCCTCCCTTAGGCATGAAAGCCAACTGAGTGACTTCGGGTCAGTCACTCTCTCTCCGCCCAACTCATCTCACAGGGCTGTTGTTTTGGGAAAAATAAAAGGCAAGAGCATTATGTATACTTCCTTGAGTTGTACAAAACTAATGCAGCAGCTTACATATAAGCAGGTGAGAGGCTTATATACTGTATCACACCTGTGATGTGGGCTTTGTGTTGGTTGCCAGTAGGCTTCTGAATACAGTTCAGAGCACTGATACTGACCTACAAAACTGTCTATGGTGTGACATCTTCTGGGTGGACATACTGTAAGTTCTTCCCCCACAGGAGATTTGGGGAAGAATGATAAATTAGTGTTTTTTTGTGACTGAGTTTGGAGCAGCCTCCCACCAGAGATCCAGAGAGTGCATTCACTCCTTCAAGAAAGTTCTGAAAACAGCTGTTCAGAAGAGCATTGGGGGACTGACATCTGGTCATGCCTATTTATATTAGTCTTAGTTCTGTTGTGGGTACTGTATATGATTCTACTGGTTTTGAATTATGTTGACTTTTGTGTTATGGTAATATGCTTAGATTTTAGTAGTGCACAGCTGTGAGTCCTTGGGAAGTATGGTGATATAAAATATAGTAAATAAATACATAAATAAATTCCTGCCCTGAAAATAACCCACATTACGTTGTTGTTGAGGTATGGTAAGAGGTAGGCTATGGTTGTTGTGATTTTTATATCAACTTTCTATGGATGGGCCTTTATTAAAAATAAAAAGAAAAATCAGACATCGATTGTTTGACAAACATTGATGTATCCCCAAAGTCAGGATTTCTTGATGTGCCAGAGGGAAAACCAAAAGGATGATTTTCTTTTTTTCTTTGTTTCAGGGAAAGGCGGGTTGGTATTGACTTGGTCCATGATGAAGTGGAACGGGAGCTGATTAAGGAAGTTGAGGTCTTCCAGGGGGTTGTTGCTTTGCTTGAACGCACACTGGAGCAAACCGATGAGCAACTCAGGTATAGGAAAAGCAAAAGGCTAAGGCAGGAAGGAAAAAAAAGAAAGCTGTGGAGATTCTGGAGATGATATGGGCAACAGGGAAGAGCAAAAAGTGTGATGCAGTATGAACTAAGGATGTTAATCCCATAGAGTCAAGGGAGGGTGGGAAGACATATGTACACAGTCTACTCTGCATGTAAAACTTCTCAGGTACAACTGAGTACATTGTTCACCTCATTTGCAGATAAGGAAATTGGGTGGACTGCATTTGACACATGCAGGAGGAAGATGAGCTGTTCTCATTCTACAGCAAAAATCAGAGAGATAAGAAGGCTTCTTTGCAAATGTGCTGTTCTGTTCCATGGAATTTGTGGCATGCACAGTACTGCTCTAATATATCCACTGTGCTGGATCAATATGAGTCCTATTATACTTAAAATGGATCTGCATTTTAAGACTGTATGGCTGGGCAGCTTTTTACTTGATCTCTCCCCAAAGGCTGTTTCTCCTCTTTCAGGCTTAATCGGTCAGCCAAATACAATCTTGAAAAGGACCTGAAGGATAAATTTACAGCCTTGACAATTGACAACTATTGCTCCAGTCTGACCAACAACTCATCTGATATTGGATATGTCCAAAATGTTGTGCAGGTTGATGAGAAGTAAGTGTCACATGGGGAACTCAGCGGGAGAACCAGGAGAACTTGTCCATAGGACACAGGGCCTCTTCTGTAACCCTGGTTCATTTCAACAAAGGCCAAATTTGGAAAGGACCTGAGCAGTAGATGGTGCCCCAGATGAGAATAGCATGAGGGAGGCTCATTTGGTTTCATGCTCCATCAAACACTTCTGCCACCTTTTCTCCTTTGTTGCCCCATAGAGCCATAACTAACTTTCAGAATACTTAATTGGTATTATATTCTTATTTCCTTCGTTTTTGATGACACGTGTAAAAAAAGGCAGGGCTTTGATTGCATGGTTGTGGCTGCCATCTTAACATTTTTGACAAACCCACCCCATGGTGGACACCCTTGATTATGATTCTTCCCCCCAGAACTTGAAAATTTCATGATGATTCCCATCCTTTCTCCTGATTCTGAATACTCAGAGCTGGATGCTGAGAGTTTTTTCTTGTTTTTGGACAGCTCAGTGACCCCTGAACAATGGATGGATTTCTCCAACACAAACGTTGAAAAAGCTGACAAGCAGCGGAACAATTCCCTGGCACTCAGAACCTTGATTGACAGCATTTTGTCCCAAACTGCAAGTGACATGCGCAAGCAAAACAGGACAGTGAACATTGCGTTCCAGAATAGGGTGAAGGAGACCAAGGATGCCAAGAACAAATTAGAAATACACCTGGCAAAGGTAGATATTGGAGGGGCACCCAACTTTGGAGTGGGAAGTAAAAAGAGAAAGAAGGAAAGAGGCACCCCTCCATCCTAGTCATAAGTTTTCATTTGCATCTAGCCATCATATCTTGAATGAGTTGTAATAGTGCCAGTTCTGCTAAAATCTGACTCAGTGCTCATATCTGATGCCATTTAGACGTGACCACAAAACTCTGACCCAAAGTCATCTTGCCAGGCTTCCAAATAATAATGCTCGGACTTGAGAAGGGAAGTAGCTATAGCTGTTTTCTGCCATTTTAAGAATTACTTTGATCTTTTAAACTTAACATAGGTATAAAATATTGATAGCCTTCTGATACACCCCAGAAAGCCTAAAAAAGGAGGGAGATTTGGAAAATCGTGTCTGTCAAGTCTCCCTCCACCCTCAAAATAATATTGATTTACTTATTACAGCTAATGAAAAGGTATCAGTCTTCGACAGAAAGTTTTCTTGTTTTAACCTTTGGCACCTCCAGAAGATGGGAGAAAAGCCCTTATAGGAATCAGCCAAGCAATACTCACTTACGTGGATCAAGGGATCAGCTTGTAACTGTGGTCCTGTGTATGCCCAATCTTGAGCTTTCAAAGGAAAGAAGACAGTTCCACAGTTGTCAGACACCAAGCTTTGTTTTCAGTGCTTTTCTGTACAAGTTCGACAACTTGTCAGCCTAGCTCAGGATTAACATCTGTTCAGGATCTTGGGCAGAAAACCCGTTTCCCAACTGAGTTGCAGCACTCCTGGGTTCCTGCATGCAGAGAAGCTGCTTGGAGTTGAATGAAAGGAATTGCTTTTTCTCTTTGGCAGACCACAGGATAGGTTTCCTCAACAGAAGCCTGGGTCATCAGCTAGGTCAGCCCAGCGAGGAGGTGCAGGTGCGCCTCCTCTGAACAAGCTTTAAACAGTTGTGGAAAAATTGTGAGGATGGATGGGAGAGAGTCAGGGAGTCTCTGCAGCAGTGTTTCTCAACCTTGGCAACTTTAAGGTGTGTGGACTTCAACTCCCAGAATTCCCC